TGCTATTTTTAAATAAGTTCTGAAAGTTATTTTTCCTAAAACATAGAACAGTAAATAAAGAAGTAAAGCAAAAAATAATCTCTTCTTGTTATGACTTTTGTACTAGGTTGCTGCATGACGTAGGTTGCTAAGCCTTTAAAAATTTTGCACATGGAGGACATCAAACAGAATATTTTTTTAGGTTTTATATATACGTTTGAGTAAGTAAAAAATTATAAATTACTACATAAATACCATAGAATTCAACTATAATTTATCAAGCTTAGTAACTAAAATATATATTTTATTCTAAAAAATATATATAAAGTTTCAAGCAGACTAAAGACACAACTACTTCATTTAAATCTTGATTTAAAAGAAAGAAATGATGCTAGGTACATAAGAAAGTTTTAGAAAACCACTAGGGGGACATTCTGAGCCTCTGATTAGTTATTCATGTCATATATAGAAGTAAGTGTTTATAAGGGAGCCTTTCTAAAAATAGAAGGAGGTGAGCGGAGTGTGACTACGTTTGATTTATTATGTCAGCAATATCTTAGCAAATAGAAAAGATAGTACCTTATTTTATATTCTAGCTTGTAAATATCTGTAATTTGAGTTTCTAATTTGTATGAAACTATAGACTTCGTATTTTGACTTCACAAACATCTAATTTGAACCAGTGCTGCATTCAACGTACCAAGTAACACATAAAATTTTATGTTTACCTTTGTTTTTTAATATTTACTTTTAAATTAACAAATTGAGTGATGTATAGTTCTAAAATTTGAATTATAATTTACAGTTTAATAACAAACTTATTGACATAAATTCATGAAATATTAGTTCAATAAAATTTTTAATCTGAGTCAACAAATGAGATGACATGGCCTTTCACCTGTGACTCGTATAGAAAGGGATAAAAGCAAATATTAAAAAAACACAGATAAACATTGATTTTTGTGAGTCACAAGCACAAAATGGTTACAAGGTTGGACCCATGGACCGAGCCCATGCTGAAAGAGTTAATACATCAGTGACGATAAGTATTCCATTTCCATTAATAAACAGCAGTGGTTGGCCTATGGAGAGATTTAGTTAAATAGAGAAACCTCAGAAGTTAAACCCTTATGTTGGGCAAAGGACCACATAACTTCCAAGTTTCTGAACATCTGGGTGGAGAATGTCTGATCGAGGTTGCCTCAACAGAGACTGCCAAAATGGAAGAGGTAGAGGTGAACATTCCTGCAGCTACTGAAGAAGCGGAAACCATGTTTGAGCTGGCCAATATGGTACAACTAAGAGAATTCAACAAGGAGTGGAACAAACTATAATCATAACCAAACGTGTCATAACTATTGCCTATAAAATATTTGCTTTTAATGCTCTTGTTATGAAAAAACTAAACAATCATGAAATATTTACTCACAAAATAAATTAATTACTAATACCTACAATAAATAGTCTTATATCTGACAAGTACAGAAGACATCATTGCCGTGATTGTTATAGTGAGGCCATATGTACTGAGGGCCATGGTACAACTGTGCCATGGCCCCAAATGGTGAGGGGGCCCCTACTGACGATCTGGACCGTCAGTTTAACTCCCTCTTTTTTTGATAAATCTTTATATTCTATTTGCTACTTTTTCTATTTTTACTCAATACAGACTAAGTTAAAAGTTATAGCATAACAAGGACGAAATGGTTACAAGATCGGTTCCAGGGTCCGAGCCTATGCTGAAAGAGTTAATGAAAGATGGTGGTGTTATTACTATAATAGACAGTCAGTGTTGATAAACAAAAAAAGACATTCAATTAATAATTTGTATTTTAATGAGATCTGACTGACCAGGGCAGTAGAAAATCCAAAATCTTTTGGCACAAACTCCAGACCTTCCAGAAATTTGAAGGACTGGAATGGAAGGTGGGTGCAGTAGTAAGGGCTTGTAATACTGAAATTGGGGGTTTAATCCTACAGTGTGCATAGTGCAGATAGTACATTGTGCAACAAGAAATATGAATTTTTGAACTTGTGTACTTCACCTATGTTATAAACTTATTTTTTATGAACTTCTTAGAAATACAAATTAATCTCTAAATAAAGGGAAAGCAAAAGAAAAGTGGAAATTGTTTCACTTTTAACAGGCAAAAAAACAAAAACAAGTTCAAAACACATTTTTAACAAGATTTTTTTATCAATTCTACAGTGCCAACCAGCTTTCATGGACAGCTTTTAATAACTGAAGGTTTTCACATCCCTCCTCCTGTAATTCCTCCAACTAAACAACAGAATAGAAATGTCCAGTTTCCAGAAGAGTTGTTACATCAGTTTGTTCCATTTGGTGCTGGTGAGTATTGCAAAGATCTCTATGTTTACTTTTCTTTTACTCGGCATCTGTTGCAACTGTGGTTATTCTCACCGAAGGTTAGGGAGCACATAAGATCAATAATTAGTTGAGAATTTATATCTTACCAGTACAGTTTGGACTAGTCATATATAGAAATTGTCAATCATTGAAGAAATATTAAATTGATAAAATGTTATTCATTATAAGAGCTCTCCAATGATGAACATGATGTCAAGATTACTAAATCACAAGTATAAAAATATAATGTATACAACCATGACCTCTGTTGTAGTAACTGGATGTGTCAGTTTGCCAATTTTGACTCGTGTGTTTATACTTATTTTTCTGCCTCTGTGATACTTTGAGGTAAAATCTGCTGATTTCTCAACCAGTATCAGATAGACAAATCTCCATATTGTTTCAGGAAATAAAAGTGATTCTGATAATATAATTGAAGTTTCCTAGTGGTTATAAAATAATTAAAAGTTGGCAAAAATAAAAACAGTCTTAATTACCTTTGCCACTGAAGATGGATGAAGGTTATGTTTTCACCCTGTGTGTATGTTTGTCGGCAAGATTTCTCGAAAATGGCATAACGGATTTGGACAATAGTTGGTATACATTTGGACTATGACCCAACTTAGAAGAGATTAGTTTTGGGAAGGTCAAGGTCACGAAAATACAAAATATCCCTATCTGTTAATATGGGGACCAATTTTTGACCATAACTGAGTCAAAAATGATTGGATTTTAATGAAACTTAGTGGACATATGTAGAATATTATTCCTCATTGTCCTGCCAAAAGTTGTCCATGTCTGTAGATAATGACAGACATATGAACACATTTTCGTATTTTTTTGAGAACCGAATATGATCAATGCTGTGTGGTGGAGGTATGCACTCTACAGTTATTGAAGAAACAAAAAAGAAAATGCAGCATTTGTAAAAGACAGTTGCTTTCTCTGTATAGATTTCTGCTGAATGATGATCTTAAAAGTAAGTCTTCACTTACAACCTCCAAGTTGAAATGAAATCACTTTCTTTTTCCAGTTGACACAATCACCTTGTGAATTTTGTTCCTCACAGCATTATTCAGTTGTTACATTTAGTTAACATCATACTTTGCCAGCAAAGGATATTACAATGCCAATCTTTTATATTACTGAACATCCTCTTGTGCAGAATAGACATCACCTACTTTAGAGAACAAAGAAACAAAGCAACTGGAACAAGATAATCTTAACTTTCTGGACCACTTTTTTCTGCCTTTACAGCATGGAAACTAAATAACTTAAGAGTTTCTGTATCACTAATGCAGGTAGAAAACATAATATATCTGTATGTCACACTTTTTATCTCTTTTCTCAGGCTCATCCTAAGCTGATGATTAAAACCAATCATCTTTAAACTCATGATATGTCAATGAGTACATTAACTTTATTCTTAAAAACACATACATGTTACACAGATGTCACAAACCCTTTAACAATGAGCTACATGAAACTAAAATATAAAACCATTCCATTGGTAATTTATAACCATGTACAGCAATACCTTGTTATAAAGCTATGTTTTTTTTTAAAAAAAGAAACTTGTAATTAAACTAATAAAGCTTCACAATGGGCTATCTGTGCTCTGCCCACCATGGGTATCGAAACTCGTGCTTGCTGTAAATGTACTATGGAGAGACAGATGGAATCGTTTCGTTTATTTCGTTTATTTGAAGTTAAGCACAAAGCTTCACAATGGGCTATCTGTGCTCTGCCCACCATGGGTATCGAAACTCGGTTTCTAGCGTTGTAAGTCGGCAGACATACCGCTGTGCCACTGGGGTGCCAGAAGGAATCAACCATGTGGTGAAACCTTGTAATTCAGGTCATAACTATTACATAATTTGTACATTGAAGAAGTCCCTATAGAAAGGCAATGAAAGTATTGGCAAGTTCTAATGGTTAAAGGTGAAATTAGCATTGCTTAACCCAATTCATTTTGACTACATAGGACCCACGCAATCTCAACCCCATTTTCTCCTACTGGAACCAGTCTCTATCTACGTAACAACCAAACAGTAACTTAGGGATGAGGCCATTATGTGTGTGTGTGTGTGGTGCTTAACTTCAAATAAACGAAACGATTCCATCTGTCTCTCCATAGTACATTTACAGCAAGCACTTTCATGCTTTGATGCTGTATTTTGTTTTGGAACAAAGTTAAGAAAATATTCAGAACAACTGTGTTTTTGGAATTATTTCCATTCTAAATGACTGAAAGTATTTTTTATCATGACCACATAACACACCAATTACATCACATGTACATATTTGTTATGATATTATTTACTGTTGATAATTTCACTCAATAATATTTTGGCTTGATGATGTTAAAATGTTTTTGCACTATACCTGTAAGAAACACCAGGTAATGTTGTGTTAGAACCACCGTGTAAAAACTGTGTTTTCTCCTTCTTGCATCCCCCGCTAGGACAGCAGTAAGTCTACCAGATTTATAACGCTAAAATCAGGGGTTCGATTCCCCTCTGTTGAAACAGCAGATAGCCTGATGTTGCTTTGCTCTAAGAAAAACACAAACACACACTCTCTCTTGCCATAGTGTGAATCTATTTGTTACTATTGTTTCTTCTGTGAAAAATCCAAAAACCTGCAGAATTTCTCAACATCAAAATTAAAACATTCTCTTAGCATTAATGAAAGTTGCATGTACACCATATTTTCTAATAATACTTTTCAGGTTATTCATCACATTTAACCTCATAATCATCATTTCTTAACATGGAGATCAAATACTTTTTGTCTCCATGCTTTTGCTGTTTTTTTCTTATTTCTTTTCCAACTTCTTATCACTTATTATTATTCTCTGTGTATGGTTGCTTCATTTGTTTTAATTTGTTTATCCTTGGCACAAACATTTTATGTATATTGTCATATACATATGCCACAATTACACATTAAGTACCTTAGCAGTTTGCACAGCCACCTCCGACTACTACACGAACAGTTTCACTAATATCTGAGTTACTTGCTAAGTTCTGCTCGGTAGTGTCATCTAGGGGCCGTTATATTCTTCTCATAATTATTTTAGGATTTATGAAGCAAATAATCATTAGTGAAATTCAGATGAATCAGGACTTTTTAACTAAAAGTATTTACCAAGATTATAATTCATGCTGTTAACTTTATGGTTTCAGTCCATCGGGTCTAGCCCATATGAAGAATGATAAGAGTTCAACAATACATATGATAAATCTGAAATTTCTTAATATATCTTCACAAAAATTGGCAAGATTTTGTTAAAGATTACAAGCATTTTCTACAAAAGAATGATATTATTTTAATCAAGTATTTTAACTAAGATTTATTTTTTATTGTAGTTTTTTCACTCATACTCTGAATATTTAAAGTATTACTATCAACATACTGTGCAATGAAATGTTTAAAATTAAGAAATAGAAAAAATGTACATACACCTTTTAATTTTTTGTCAAATAATCTTAAAAAATATTCATAATTACAAGTCTTTACATTTTCACATAGTTTGTTTTCCTTTACTGTCCTTTAGAATGATTATTTATCATGATACACCTCAATGGGTGTCTTCAGGCACTAAAGGACAGTAAAGGAAAACAAACAATAATGCCCATTGAGGTGTATCATGATAAATTGCCTGAGGACACTAAAGGACAGTAAAGGAAAACAAACAATTATTATTTATCATGATACACCTCAATGGGTGTCCTAAGGCAATATTATGACATTGTGTGAAGAGATATTTTAGCCTTCAGCTGAATGTTTTTGCATTTGCATAGTACACTAATCCTCAGGAACTGAAGCAAAGCTTGGGTTATACTATAATAAAATATTTAAACATTTCAAATATGAATTATAAAAAGTAACACATAATTAACTAAAATATGAAATCAAAACCTAAATAGAATTCAACTGTATCTAACTAACATATTTCTAGGTGGAAAACAATGCTAAGTGGTAGCAAGAGCAAAAGCAGCAACAATGCTAAGAGTAGTCTGACTTACTTTGTAAGTAGTTCTGCATGTCAATTTGAAAATAACAATTGGGAGATTGTAGTTTAAGATTTCATTCTATTCGTTATAAACATCTACACACATAAGTAGAGTTGATTGTGAAATTGCATGTCTATGTGTAGAATGTGAGCATGGTTTCTATCAAGAGTTCCCAAGATGTTTATTTCTCTTTTCTTGGAAGTTTCCTTAAGGAATTTGAAAGAAGGTTGAGTAAACAAAGGAATTAAACTTTTTTCTGTCTAATGGATGTGAAAGATTATTTAAGTTACAGAAGTCTAAAGTCAAGATTTGTAAATGCTTGTGTGTCATGGAACAACAAACCAAAGATTAAGTTTTTTTTTCTTAAAATTTATTTTGAAATAAAGGAATTAGAAGTTAAATAATAATAAAATATTGAAGTTTAACATATATTATAATTCTGATTTCATTGACATTTATGGATAATAAAGTTGCTTAATTAAATTTTGAATGTATCTCAACATCTGCAGAAAAGGGGTGCCAGTAAGCTTAGGATATTCCAATACACACAGAAAATTCTGGACTCCCTTTGATCATAAATCCAAAATTTTTTAAATAAAATCAATGAAACATGTAGCAAGCCTGGTTTATATACTCTACAAGGTTTTTAACACTCAACCAGATTCTCAGAGTGATTTTTTTTTGAAAACAAAAATGACTAGCTTAGGAAGCAAGGGGTTGCAATGCTTCTTTAACTCACTGATTTTTGAATCACATAATCATTTCAGTCATTGATAATCTAGTTACATATCCACAATGTAATATGTATGTTGCATCTCAATAGCTTAGAAAGTAAGGAACACCACTTCCTTTCAGTAACTGCTATAAATGTCAATAACCAAGTAAAGGCTGCAAAATGTAGTCTGTGTATTCCACCAGTCCTTCTATTCATCAGTTGCTCAGACTGAGGAATGTCTTAGCTTTGAAGATTGAGCAATAACTCTGTAATGTAGTGCACACACTGTTTTTTTCATGAAGTCAACTTACCACAGTGACACTCACATTACAACATTAATTCTTTCACTGTTTTTATCAAGTGGATTCATGTATATAAACTGTCATTGAATATAGTAATTCTATATATAGGGAATACTGGGGGACTTCTTGTAGTAATAGTAGAAGTCCATGACATCTCAACCTGAGCAGGATCTGTGGTCCTCTCTTGTGCTGCTCCATATGCTGTCTTCACATATGGCAACTGTTCATCCCAATTGGTTATGTTGGGGTTAACAAACTTTGAAAGCATATCTTTGTTAGTCTGTATTGCCTGTTCTGTCAAACCATCAGACTGGGGGGATAAGGTGAAGTATGAGTCTTCATCACACTTAACGCTTTACAAACACACTAACCAGTTGTTAAAGTTAGCTTCCTTGTCTGTGTAGATTTTTTCTAGTGTTCCGAATTCTGCTATCTAGTTCACTACTAACAGCACTGCAGAATTCTCAAACATTTTCCAACATAAAGAAAAATGCATGAATGTAAATGTGAAAATTGAACAGTTCCAAATTATCGGAAAGGCTGAAAATGAGGAGTGGCTAAGATTAAAAGAAAGATTAGCCATAAAGAACTTAGCACCTGAACTAAACAAGAAATCTAGCACGTGTGAGCTGATGTTAAAAGTGTGATAAGAGAGAAAAGATTCACATCTGATGTCTTTATTGATGTAATTTTTAAATGTAGCACTAAAAAACTGGAGTTATTAAAAAGTTATTTTTTCAATAAAAGGTATTATTTTTAATGTATAGAAACATTACAGTTTACATCAATAAAATTTATGAACATTTTGAGCTCTGTACATTATATCATTTTGATGCAATAAGAGCACAATCTGAACACTTTTCCCTTGCAGTATTTCCCAGAAAAAAAATACCTTTTTTTGAAAACGTGAATGTTTTACAATGAGGTATGAATACTAAGATTATTAATTACTAGCACAAACAGCCGACTGTTGGGTGTCATTTCTGTTAGTTAAAATAAATAATGAAACAATATGTATTTCTCTGTGATGAATCTAAAAAAAATTCATGGTCTGTTTTCCTTTTTAAGTAACACAAGAAAATTGTTTGTGATGGAAATGACAAGCAGTATTAATAATAACCTAACACAACTTTGTTTTAGTAAGCTATATGCTTTTATAACTACTCTTTGGTTTATCTTCAGAGTGTAAATTTAAATGTGAGGAAAGTCAATCATTATTTATGTAATTTCAGATGAACCTTTTGTTTCAAAGAAAACTCCAACTAAAACAGGATCATCCTACAAGACATCAGAGAAATGTTCCAAAAATTGTGTTTCTCCTAGTTCAGAACTTCAAGATCAAGAACAAACAAATTCATATCTAGTATCAGAGAAATGGAAAAAATTAAGTAGAAGTGAAACAACAACAAAAAAGAAAAAAAGAAAACATAAAGAAAAAAGAAAGAGTGATTCTTCTTTGTCGTACACTGTTCCAGAAATGTCACCGATCAACCTGCACCTTTCTCCTGGGAAGGGAAAGAAGTTATTTCCTTATGAGGATGATGGTAGCTCCAAGAAGAAAAAAGTAAAAGCAAAAAGTGAAGTATTGTCATCTTTGGAGATGTCTACTACACATCTTACTAGTACAAACAACTCTAGAGGTAAAAAAGAAAAAGATTTGATAACAATGAATGAAGAACCAACAGTTAGCGATGAATTCCAGACACAAATACTCAGTTCTGATCTAATACTTAAGCAGGAAAGGTTCAGTGAAAATGAAGCAAGTCCCCATAAAAAGAAGAAAAAGAAGAGTAAAGAGAAACACAAAAGTATCTCGGAAACAGCAGTGAACAATCTTTGTAATTTCGATGATATAGTGAAAGAGTCATCCTGTGATGAAGCTGTGTCCATGGTGGAGAAAGTACATGTTAATCCAGAAATGCTTGAAGGCTCAGAAGAGGCTGTTAACAGATTGAAAAACACACCAGAAAAAATGTTTACGACAATTAAGCAAGAACCAACAGTCAACATAGAATGTCAGGAACAAATGAACAATTTCACCATTTTAAAAAAGAATAGGAAAAGGCATTATAAGGATGAAGCATCTTCACCAAAAGCAAAAAAATTTAAAAGTAATGGGAATGATGACACTGCATATATTTTTTCTAAGATATATCCATCACCTTCTGATAAACTCACATCAAAAGAAAAAAGTGGTAAAGTTAAGAAAAAAGAAGTATCAAGCACAAAAGATTCCATTTCAAGTAGCACGGAAAATTCTGAAACCAAAAAACATAAACATATTGCAAAGGTAAAACAAGAACCAACAAACGACTTAATAGTATCAAATATTAAACAAGAAAGATTTAGTGAAAATGAAGTAAGCCCCCCAAAAAAGAAAAAGAGAAATAGTAAAGTGAAACATAACAGTGAGGGTTTAGAGGAATTCAGTGTTATGAAAACAGAAATAACTAATGTGCCCATATCTCCCGGGAAGATAAAACATTCACCTTCTGTCAATAGTTCTAAAAAGAAAAAGAAAAAAGAACTAACTACAGCTTTTGAGTCAGTTTTAAACAATGAAAATGTGACAAAAATTAACAAAGCCAAAAACATAATGGTAAAACAAGAACCAACTATAATGGGAGAATATCGAGAAAAGACAGACAATTTTACTAATTTCAAAATAAAACAAGAAAACTTATAAAATAAATAAACTTTTCCCTTATACAAAAGTAAAAAATAAAGATGCTTAATTATGATTGGTTTCCAGAAGAACTATTGGAAAAGCAATGATAGTCTGCTTCATTCTACTAATTAAACAGTGAGTTAATGTTTTTCTAAAGACAGTTAAAGATAAAAAAGCAAGTAAATGAAGAGAGAGTATCCACAACTAATGATGCAAAACATTTTGTTTTAAACAGACTTGATTGTTTTATTTTTCAAAATCACAGTTGTTTGTTGTACAAGATCAAGAAGTTAATAAAAATATGCACACCTTGTAAGTATGCTAAATACTTACAAAAAGTTTAATACTAAATGCAAAATTGAACCACTATTTATATTTTAAAAAATGTGTGTGTGTTTTGTATGACACTGAAGATAACCAATATTACCTTACCCAGTGTTATAAAACCACTTGACTGAAAATATTTTAAAATTCCTGACAAGCACAATAAGAGTATTTCGACTGGAGAAAGCCATGCACTATTTTAGTTGTAGGCCACTGCCAGAGAAGCTTTTACTCATTACTAAAATTGTTTAAACTCTCTATGGTAGAGTATAAAAAAAGTGAAGTCCAGTTTGATTATCCCTGTGAAGTAATTCAAAAATATAAGCTCATTAGGTTAGGTTTACTGTCCTGGCCAATTTTGGTGATGTTCAGACCAAAATTGTAGGAGATGGTGATCATGCAATCAGTCAAATTAGCATGCAATATAATAAGATTAGTATTTACAAAAAGAAAATGATGCATATAGATTGCAGCAAGGTAAACATACACAGTAGTGAGAGAGTGTTTTCTTTATAATATCATATTCTGTAGTAGGAAATTATCTGAAATAAACAAAATGCAATCATTCCATAAATAACTTTACTAGTCTTTTGGATTATATTTTCTTTAGAAAATATACCTTAGTAAGCAGATCACAAGTGTCATTACTTGGTATTTGTTTGGTAAATTCAGAATGAACATGAATAATATTATTTCCAGTATTTACTCTATTAAACTCTTTCATTATAAACATTAATGCATTTAGGGGCAATGGGGGCTTGGGTTTAGGTTAAGCAACTGGTTCCAAGTACTTGCTAGTGATGAGGGGAAGCAGGTAAGGGAAACAGATGGGATCACAAGGGATGATAGTGTAAATCATAGAAAAGTTATAGTTGTAAGTGACTCTCAAGTTAGGCAAGTAGATAGAGTAGTATGTGGAGTAAATAGGAGCAAAATAATATGCTTATGCTATCCAGGAGCAGGGTTACAGGATATAATTGATAGAACCAGAGAGATAGTTAAGGGTGATGGTAGCAATGCAGTTTTTGTGATGCATGTTGGGGGCTAATGATGTAAGGAAAGATGGATCTGAGGAGCTTTTTGATAAATATAAAACATTGATAAGAGCATTTAAGGAAAGGGGTCATAGCTTGATTTTGTCAAGGGATATTGTCAAGAATAAATTGTGGGAATGAGATACTAAGTAGTAGGTCACTAGGATTGAATGCCAGGCTTAGATCAGTATGTATGGATGAGCAGATAGGCTGGTTGGATTTGTGGGATAATTTTAATAGAAAAGTTAATCTTTTTGGTATAGATGGCTTAAACGTAAACAAGGCAGGGGCTAGCATGTTTGCAAGGGCTATTAACATAGCTATAGTGGTAGATTTAAACTAGGGCTGGACAGAGGTGAGGGCTATGATATTAGTAAAATAGGAAATATAATTGACAGGAAAACATGTACAACAGGCATAAAACATGAACGTATTTTAAAATATATGATTAATTGTTACTATTGTAATGCTAGGAGTATTAGAAATAAAATTGAGTTCAAAGCAGTTGTGGAACTGAGGATTTTGATGTTGTGGGTGTCACTGAGACTTGGTTGGATTCGAACAATTTTGATGAGAGAATTTTCTTTGAAATACCAGGTTACAGATTATTTACTAGAGGTAGAGTATTGAAAAAAGGGGAGGAGTTACTTTATATGACTTATTATTTTACCAATCAATACCCCTGAAATTAAAATCCCCCATAATAACATCGTTTTCAGCTATCATTCCGATATTATTATACAATTTCTCATTAACTTCCACATTCTGATGTGGTGATCTATAACAAATCCCAATTACAAGACTTTTCTCTTTATATCCACTAACACTGATTCAAACTCAGTGTTATTTTCTTTAATATGCTCCAACTCAACATGATACAATTCACTCCTCACTAACAGTGAGGGGGATAGGTTTTTGGAAATTGTTCAGGGTACCTTTATACACCAACTGGTGATTGAACCTACAAGAAAGGAAGCCATATTACATTTAATATTAGCTTCCACTGTGAATATGATAGAGTTGGTGAACATTTAAGTACAAGCGACCATTGCACTATTAGGTTTGCAATTTTACCACATGTAGAATTGAAGAAGAATAGTACCCCGATTCCAAATTTCAGGAAAGTAATTTTGATGGAATGAGACATGATCTGGCTTGAACAGATGTGGGAAACATTTAGGGAAAAATTGATATGTATATAGAACATACAAATTACCTACAGAAAAAAAAGGGGCAATAGAGTGGAATAAACCAGTATAGTTTAGTAAAGGTTTACGAGATAATATTAGGTATAAACATAATAAATTCAAGAAATTTAAACTTATTGGAAATAATAAGGTCCTGGAGGACTATAGAAAATCAAGAGGGCTGGTTAAAAAGGAAGTTAAAAGGGCAAAACTATATGAAACAGGGTTGGCTGAGACAACTGTTCCCTGCAGCCATATGTTCTTATATTAATATAACTGAGTAAAATAGGGAAAATTACACATATTTCTTATATTTTATAGAAGAAAGTATTGTCTAAAACTGTTTAACCCTTTCTCTCCAGCTATACTTTACTGTGCATGTCATAAGAGTCAACTGCGAGGATAACAAACAATATAGAATATTTTATAAAAGAACAAATTGTCTAAAACTGTTTAACCCTTTCTCTCCAGCTATACTTTACTGTGCATGTCATAAGAATCAACTGTGAGGATAACAAACAATATAGAATATTTTATAGAAGAATGAATTGTCTAAAACTGTTTAACCCTTTCTCTCCAGCTATACTTTACTGTGTATGTCATAAGTCAACTGTGAGGATAAACAATATAGAATATTTTATAGAAGAACGAATTGTCTAAAACTGTTTAACCCTTTCTTTCCAGCTATACTTTACTGTGCATGTCATAAGAATCAACTGTGAGGATAACAAACAATATAGAATATTTTATAGAAGAACGAATTGTCTAAAACTGTTTAACCCTTTCTCTCCAGCTATACTTTACGGTGCATGTCATAAGAATCAACTGTGAGATTAAAAAACAATATAGATTTTCAAAACTGCACTTTGTTGGCCTTTTGAGAGGAATAGCTCATAAGTTTCAGTTATATATATGTTTGCATAGTTCAACATTTTTATTTCATTACAATAAACCAAATTTAACATGCAGCCTGTGTTATTTTCTTCTAATTAAAACAACAGTTTTAGATAATTCAGTCTTGTTTGTTTATTGAATTTCATGCAAAGCTACACGAGGGCTGTTTGCCCTAGGCATCCCTATTTAGCAGTGAAAGACTAGAGGGAAGGCAACTAGTTATCACCACCCACTGTCAACTCTTTTACCAACGAATAGTGGGATTAACCCTCATATTATAATGCCCCCAGAGTTGAAAGGGCAAGCATGATTCGAGCCCACGACTCTCAGATTGAGAGTTAAGCGCCCTAACCCACCTGACCAGTTCATTCTTCCCCAAAATAAAAAAATTTGGTAATGGCATCTTTTTCTCTTTCCTCGTTCAACAGTTTTAACCAATATTTTAATTTGTTTCTAATTTATTAAAATATTTACAGAAGGAAATAGCTTGATGCAGAGCCAGATTCAAGACAGTGTCTCTCTTCAGTTGAGCCAAACTTTAAGGCAATGTGTTCTTAGAAATAAATTCAGAAGTCTCATTAGTTTTAGTTAAATGGTTTTGTTTTCAATTTTTTGAATATGTTTCAAGAATTATTTAAATTTTCTTAGGTATTAACAGCAAACTGATGACAATATTGGAGATTCAGATTTTATTGTAAACATGTTACGTAATAAGTGTTTCAGAAACTTATTTTCAATAAATTCAAAAGTTATATTTTACAAAATTTATTAGTGCTTAAAGTTAAAAGGTGGTTTGCTACAAAAACTTATTATGCAAGGGGGTTCACGAAGAAAAATAGGTTGGTAACCGCTTAGATCTATTCTTTCTCTTTGTGCAATGTTATATTTTATGTTGTTGTTAACTGTTTCTGCAGAGGTAGGGGCCAAAGTGTGCTTGCCAGGATCTTTTAGAGTGCCATTCAACATCATATTTATGTATTTGATGGTAAGTTATCAACGATTCATTTTACTATATATTGCAGCTTTAGCAACAGTTGATGGTAGGGGTGAGTAAATACCAGATACAATATATAGGGATACTGAAAATGATTGAGTTGTGCATTTTGGAGGTTCTAAATGTTAATCAGATGTAATATGCAAACTCTATGATGGACAAAAGAATGTTTATTCTTCACTCCAACTATTCAAACAGACGTTGTCAATTTAAATACATATCTTGAGCACAAGTACTTTTGTAATGTGATTTTTTGTGTACAACAAGCTTGTCCATTTTACTAAAAGCTTGCTATGTTTAGTATACTCAGAAGTATAGACATTGTTCTTTGTGCAACAGACTGGATGGTATTGACTTACTGCATAACCTCAAGTACATCATTTCCATCTTGTTAATGATGTTCTATGCATATGGAATAGTTTAACATACTAAGAATTGTTTCCAAATTTAATAACCGAAAATTGCCACATTAAAAAAGAATTGAAAGTTTTACAAATTTGTAAGTATGAAATTAAAATAAATTTTAATTTTCATATTTTATGCTCCAAAAGCTTATGTAGTTGAAACTCAGTTTGATTTAATGTTATTGCTTTATTTCAAATGTGGGCAAAGTCTTGTAGATTAATAAAAGGCTCATCTTTACTTAAATCCTTAATTCAAGTTGTATTTTCATTTTCCTAGTTATTGTTAGAGTTATTTATAATAGGATTTTACTTCTATACTAATTAAAATAAAATTGCAGAAAAAACAACAACTGAATTTAATAACCTCACTTCAGCATACTCAATACTTGAAATTAAGTTTAAAGTCAAATTTTGTTGTTGGGAAATGATTGTACACTACAGAAAATATCAAATTATATTTTTTCTTTTGTTTTTATAGCTCAGTATAGTAGTCTGCTATGTGGTCTGTTCAACATTGTCAAGTTTGGCATTATTTGAATACTATCATCTTTTCTTAAGTTGCGTAAACCTTTCAGGTACAACTATGTTGAAAATAAGCAAATTACCAACCAGGCAAGATAAACTGGAGAAGTAATGTTTTCATGTATAAACAACATTTAAGAATGGAAGAGTGAAAGTTAAGTCATTTAAAGTTGAAGAAAGTATGCATCTGAAACCTGCTCAATTTTATAGTAATTTTAATTCTGGTGTGAAAATTTAATATGTAGCTACACTTGTTTTATTGTACGCCAGTTTATTTTTACAAGATGAAAACACTTGAATGTGGTTAAGTTTAATATTCACATAGTATGCTCTAACCAGAAGAAAGAGCTACAATTCACACAAAGTAAATAACTTTATGGGATATAAAGTAATAACTGGTGTCACTACAAATTGGAACCTTTTCTGTTTCTTCAGCTTCAAAGAATCATGAACAGGTGCATTAGTGAAATGATGATTAATGATGGGATAGGGGAATGATCATAGTTCATCGTGATCCTGAAAAACAAATATGCAAGAATACATACATTTTACAAAAGTTGATATTCCTTACTGATATTTACAAAAGTTATCAAATTTCAATATTAATTGATAAATTTCTAATATGTTCATTAAAGTTGAAGCATGCTTGATACCAAGAGTTGGCAATTTTTTTTTCAATACTAAAATATAGTATATTTAAAAATTAAGTTGAACCATTAAAGAAAATGAATTTACAAGTACTTTTAAAATAAAAGCAATAAACAGACTTTCTTATGATTCCCAGCAAGAATGATGAAAAAAACAACAACAAAAACTACTAACAATATACAAGGAACTGTCCCTGTCTTGAAGCTCCAACTTTATAGCTTTTTTTTGTTATATTTCATGCAAGACAATTCTTAAACTTTCTTTTCTATCACAAAAGAACAAGAGTATGAAGTAAAAAGTCTACTAATCTTTAGCTTTAAGTCACCACTTGTTATATTTGTAATTAAATTAAGAAGGTTTAAGGATGAGGTTAACATAATTATGAAAAAAGGCATATAGAACAATACATAGACAAAGTTCCAGGATCAAAAAATTTCTGTACTCTTAAAAAACGAGTTCCAGCACATCATGTCAACATCACTGTTGTCAACCTTACCTCTGGCTTATCTTCAGTTTCACCTTCGTCATCTGCATCAACTTCCTCTTCCTTTTCAGCCTCTTCTTCTTCTTCTGGCAGTTCTGGTTCATCTTCAATCTTTAAGTAAAATCAAAAGATATCTTAATCTAAAACTTAAATAAAAACGTTAATTGTTTTTACCAGTATCCTTCTAATTTTGTTTAACACATCATTTTTTGAAGTTATTTACGTAAAATAACCTTTACTATAATAAATTTTGGAATTCAATAGTTTGGTTTATTAAGACTGAAAAGTTTGTACTAACCTGGGCATCTTCTGGAACTCCTAGTGTCTTTCTCAGTAAAGTCTCTACTCTCTCAGCAAAGGAAAAAGTGTCATCTAAAATATATCCTGACCTCAAAGTGGCAGTCTCAAACATGATGTTGGCCATGTTCTTAGCTGTGGGATCATCTTTGTCATCCTTTATTATACCATAAATACCAAATTTAGTTCTTAAATATTACACATTAAGTTTGATGTAAAGTTAATTGTAATAACAATATTAATAAAGACAGTTCATTCAGTTCTATGGAAGTTTTTTTTTTCATGAAACAAAAAACTAAAGAAACAATCCGACAAAATTCACATTGAAACCCAATAAAATGAAACAAACCAACCAACCTCAATTCTCTTCTTGAGCTCCTTTATCAGTGGATGCCTTGGGTTTATTTCTAATGTTTTCTTTTGACTGAGATAGTAGCTGAAAGATAAAAGTTTGAGAATTTCATAAAATCCAAGTTTTACCATTTTAATATTAAACTTTTAGGAAGGACTGTATTCTTGTTTTTACATTGTCATATTAATACTGTTAGTTCAACAGCAAAATGTTTGTTCAAGTCTGGTTTGAGGTCAACTGTTAAGTCATTAGTATTAACATTATTGCTAATGTAATTAAAGTACTACACTTATAATGTCAGCTCATAAACTGAAGTTTGTACTCCTAGGATTAAACTATATATCCTGTAGTAACATGTTATTTATATTAATTATAATAAAAGTATTGGAACCTTACTGGTGAATTTAATATAAAATGTTCTTCAGACTTCAATATTTTTGGGAAAGTACAATCACACATTTACTTTGACAGTGATGCCTTTTAAGTCCAATTTAGTATTAATGTTCAAATTATACAATTTTTACATAGAATCTAGAAAATGTGTACTTATGAAATTAGTAGTCCTGCCACACTATGTAAAATATTTCACAACATGATTATTTTAAGCAAGTTGATCAGTTATGTATTTTGTGATGTTTTAAAAGGATCTTACATTAATATATATGAAAATGACCAATTTTATTGAGAGAATTCATACAAGTTACACAATAGTTATCATAAAACGTATTTTTTATGAAAATATTACTTACTCCCGGGTTGTGTCGTACGTCTTGCTGTGTGCATTACTTCGAGCTAACCTTTCCATGTTTCCTGTCCAGCCAAATTGACTGGCCACTAGAGCACAGGGAGAGTTGTGAAGACGCTGAGAAATCTTAGCTTTCAAAATCTGTATTAGCAAGAGATTGAGAAATGTTCAAGTAAAATTCTTTTTACACCAAAAGATAAAAGATTACAATATCCATTTTATTTAAGAATGTTATAAAATTTAAATTTTGTTCAGTCAAAATTATTTTCCCGATTGGCATTCTTTTCAAAACTTTGCAGTAATTGATAAGCTTCAGAAAATGTTATAATATTGCTTCTTGTGTTATTGGTTATTTGTATAAGATGTTACAACATAAATTACAATTAAAAGTTAACTTTTGTATTATGAAAGTGAGGAGTGATATATAGACAGACACAAACTGAACTTATAGAAAGTGAACCTTCAAGAGGATTTAAGGTTTGTTAATTTCTAGAATGCTACAACCTAGTTTCATATATATTCTAACATACTGATAATGTAAATATTTTACTATGTTTCCACATATAAAGAGTAAAACAGTCAGAAGGATTGTTAGTACTAAAACCAATTATTTATTAATAATTTTTTATAGCTAATTAGATTAAATTAAACAAGTTATTGAAACACCATGTAGAAGAAGTTTGCAATACTTGGAAAGAACACAAAGTAGACAAACCATAACTAAATTACCCCTTTTAAAAAGGTTTAGTTTATGAGGGTTCTTTGTTTGTAGCTAAATGTAATATTTTGAAATGTTACTTTCATGGTAATTAAATGCAAAAAGTTATTATGCAACCTTCAAGTTTAACAACTATATCACTAACAGAGTATAATGAGATTATTATGTATTGCTAAACATTTGACAGGTGTGTACCTGTGGCTATTAGTTTAATAGCCACTTCTTACATTTCTCCACTACATTTATTAGTTTAAACTGATTTGAATGAAACACTTTTTTTTTGGAAATAAACAAAATGTTAAGTTGTACAACAAACCTTATCTTTAAGTGATTCATCTTGTAACCATTTAGTTAGTGGCTCATACTCTTTTTCAAGATCTTCAAGCCTTTCTTTAGCCTTCCCACTTTCATCTAATTTCAATCCATCTTTAGCAGCATTCTGGAACTTTTTGCCTTCAAACTCAGGAAGAGCAGAGACAGAGTATTCATCTACAGGCTCAGTAAGGTATAAAACTTCATAACCTTTCTTTAAAAGACGTTCTACAAATGGAGATTTTTTTACCTGAAAGAAACAAAAAACAGTTTTAAATATGAGCTCCAGTTGATAAACGTGTTATTTGTAGTGATCATTAGAACCTTGAAGTATTAGACTTATTAAATTACAGAAGTCATTATTACATAGAAATCCGTATAACTTAAATGTCCAATAACAAAATTTTTTGTTTTAGTGATAATTAAAAGGACTAAATCTTAAATGGGGAATTTACATACCTCCTCTAAGCTAGAACCAGCTATGTAGTATATATGTTCCTGTTTTTCTTTCATTCTCTCCACATATTCAGCTAATGAAGTAAGCTTTTCTGGGTCATTGGAAGAGATAAATCTTAACAGTTTTGCAAGTCTGGTCCTGTTTGTAGGGTCCTCAATAATTCCGAGCTTCACACTATGAAGAAACCCAATTAGTTATAAAACATTGCTACCGATGTTTAGAAATCACACAAGTTCAAATACTGTGATAAATGGTAATATAATTTCCAAACTAAAATACATTAAAGATTAGATTTTCTTTAGCAGAGATGCTACAAAAAGGATAATGATTTAAAATAAAAACAAAACCACATTACATTAGCATACAAGATTCCATGAAGTCCACTTTTTTTTTAATCTTTGGGAAAAGCAGTTTTAAATCAAGTACAAAGTTGGTCTAAAATTGTTCTATAAAAAGAAACTTTAAATACAGTGTTGAGAAACAAGTTAAAAATATTGCTTGACCTATGAATTAATATAGTATACAGGGAAATGTAATAGTGATGACAGTATAATACTTACTTTGTGCTGTATTCTTTCCAGAATTTTTCATAATCTTCTTTTGGGATCTTTTTAATCATGTCTAATGTTTTTCTGACTAATTTTTTCTTAATAACTTTCAATAGCTTATGCTGTTGGAGAGTTTCTCGAGAAACGTTTAGAGGCAAGTCATCAGAATCAACCTATATAATTTATGAAAAGAATAAGAATTGCCGAGCTCCGTATGAAGATAGTTGTGTATACCATAAAAATAGTAATATATAATATTTGTAAACAATGTTCATTCCATGTCTCAATTCTATAACTTACTGTACTTAAAGTTAGTTGTGAAGAAACAAAGTTCAAATAAATTCTAACCTTACTTAGAATTGTACTGGTGTTGAGACAGCTGTATTTGTATTTATTACTCAATATAGAACAGCTTTATTATACTATTGTTCAGTCACTTGTTGATA